AAATAATTATATTATTATTTTTTAATTTATTCTTTTTCAAGTTCAATTTTTATAATTACATAAATTGGTAATAATAATAATATATAACAATCATTTCCAGTCATTTTGCAACTGTGACGTTAGAGGCTGTTTCTAGGTAAAACCGAAAATGATACTAAACACGTTCCAAGCACGTAGGAATTTATGTATGTAAAACTAAACGCTTGTTCCTATGACAGTCGAGTCCAGAACGGACCCGGAACTGTCGGCCAAGAAACTGTCAACTCGGCACCATGTCTCGAAATTACTTCAGGAATGCGCCGCAAAAAAAAGCTAAAATTACGAAAATAGCTCTCTGTGATGGAAAAAATTTAAACTCAACTTTCCCACACATTAGGACACCTCAAATTCCCCACAGTCCCTTTAGCATATTAATTAAAAAATTATTAATTGCTTGTTTTATAAATATTGATTTTTTTTATTTATAATTAGTACCTTTTATTTTTTTATTATTTAATAAATAAATGTTAATTTTATTTTATTTTTTTAATTATAAAATATGAACTTTAAATCTTTCGCAATGCAATAAATTATTGCTTTTATAATTTTTTATTAGTTAAATCTAACTTTTTTCTAATTTTTTACTAACACTTTTTACTAGTTTTGTACTTTTTTTCATTGTAATTTTTTACACAAAAATTTTCTTTTTTTTTACTTTTTTAATACTTTAATTTTTTAAATGATCATTAGGTTGTTATTATTAACGGTTTTTCTAAGAAAAATCGGTTTTATGAAGATTACTTTTTATTTAGTGTAATATTTAATATAATAAAATCTGAAACATAAACTTTTTTTGTCAAAATTTGGTAATTTCGGATAAACTAGCATCTTAATTCATTTTAATAACGCTACTCAACAAATCTGAAGGAAAAATTTGCCACTGATGTGCTAAGAGATCTGTGGGGTATTTGAGGTGTCCTGATTACGAATTTGAGTTCAAAATTTTTACATCACGTACAGCTACTGTTGTCATTTTCATAAATGGTAGTGGTTTGGTCCCATACCTCTTAACCATAACACAGAAAGTCCTACAGGTTAGGAAATTTTTACTATCATTTTCGATTTTAGAAACCGAAAACAACATCGCAGTCGCATAATCGGTGTAAACTAGTGTAATTTTTTAATTACTCATTTTATTACTTTTTCCAAAATTTCTTCCATTTTGATTTTTTTTAAATTATTTTGTAAACAAATATTATTATTTTTTGTAATACTTTTATTATTATTTCAGCTTTAATTTAGTTCATATGATAAATATTAATATTATTTCATTAAGAAGTTCGAAGTTTATAAGATTGTTGAGTTATTCGCTAAATGTATGTATGTATGTACAAATTTCACATTTACATACAAAGGATTTTGTATAGCACCTGTGACCCCTGGACGCATACTCATGCTTGACGCAAACACTACTACAAATGTATGTATGTATGAACACAAGCACACATACACACCACAGTTTCACTGCTTCCAATTCACGTGCCCTTTAGCTTTTATTGGAACTAGCTGTTAGCCCTGTGTTCCTGTGAACTTGATCTGAGGCTTAGATTTCTTAGGTTGCAAAAACGTTTGATGCTTGATTACGAATTAATATTGTAAATGCTTTGATTTAAATATTTCGTTGCAAAAAGTTTTTTTGTAAATATTTGGCTGTGTTGTAAAAAAAAAATTAAAATAATAAATTTTAATCGATTTTGAAACAAACTATTTAAAAATATTCTTTATGTACTATTTTGTTAATAATTTCTCTCTTTCTCATTTCACATGCAACTGTTTGGCTGCTGCATGGTGGCAACCACAACAACCATATTGATGCCTTTCTACTGTTTATATGAATATACAGTCCACCAGCGGCGGCATTGGTGAGACGACAACGACTACAGTGACGACAATGATGACTGGCCCAGACATCCAAAACTCCAAGCAAGCAATGCTGACAGCGCAGCAGCAGACAATGGCAATAATGTCGCCTGCATTCATACAACTACAACAACAAAATCAACAACCAGCAGCGGGTGCAGTTACATTAGCTGCTCTGACGGCAGTCACATCATCAATAACAACAACAACGACGATTTCAATCAGTTTGCCTGTAAATACAATAATAGCAACTGCGACAACTACAACAGCCGCAACAGCCACAATCGCACCAACCACAAACACACTAATCAACACACTCGCAGCAGTAGCAGCAACAAAAGCAACAACCAAATTGGAGAACGGCGATAATATAACAGCAGCAACAACAACAACAGCACTCAATGAACAACAATCAATAACGTAGATGAAGTTCTAAAACTCATAGAGGAAATGGCACACACAAACAACCAAAATTACATATGCAACAACAACAATACTATTAAATGAAAGGAGCAAAAAAGGAAAAAATATACGTAAAACGTGCGTTTTCCAACGTTTAAGAAACAAATACACACACATACATACAAAGAAGCATATAGATTGGGAGACGAAATGAAAGCGAAGCGAAACAAAGCAAACAAACACAAAACAAAGATGCAAATATTATTAATTTAATTTATTCATTATGATAATAAAATAAATAAAAAATATTGCAAATAATAAAACCAAACGATAATCGAAATGATGGAGGAGAGGATAGTGAAGAAACTCTGAGGATAGAAAGAGAGAGTGAGGGAGTGTCTGATTGTGGGAGAGTTAGTAGAAGAAAAATGCAAGCGGGTTATAGCATAACAAGCGAAAGTGCATGTGCCAGAGCTGAAAACACTTGTAAGCAGCTTAAACTATGTCCGGCGCCTTAAAGCGGGCTCCAAAATTCCAAAGCGAACAAGCTGCTTACTTCTACTACACAGACACAATAGTTAATGGCATGTTCTAAGCGCAGTTAAACTTAGGTGCATACCGCGACGCACGAAGTACACGAAGGAGTCGTTCGAAATCAGTGTAAGTTACTTCGGAGCGCAGCTACAGCCAGGCTTTTTAAAACGTATGCAACACACTAATTATAAACTAAATAATTAAGGAATTCATACGAAATAATTAGTATAACAATACGTATACACAATTCTATAACCTAACAACATGCATACAAACATTAAGGGAATACACATGCAATTGCACGATATAGAAGTAAAATTCGAAACGATTATGTAATAGTATTAAATTGAAGTGCAGTAATGTAAGAAGAAGTAAAGGTCAGCAGAAGCTACATACCTAACACACATGATATAAATTGATTTATTGGAGAAATTGTTGCTGGAAGCATGTGATTCATATGCGCTGAAAGAACAACAACAGCGTTACAACAGCAAAACTACAATTGCAATGTAAAACGAAAAAAGTAGTTGTGTAATACGGTTGCTGCAACGCATTCGCATTCGCACACACACTCATACACATAAGCGAAATTAAAGTAAGACAGTCACTGTAAATCGTGGAGAGCGCATAAATAATTTTGATTTCAATGCAAGACGCTACACATACAACTTTTTTAATTTTTTGCTCTGCAAGAAAAACGCTAACTAACTCGGAATAATGAAACAATTAATAAATAAAATTGAAAAAAGAATTAAAATACAATTTTTAAAAAATATTAAAACTAAATATATGTATATGTAGGTATGTATAAGCATAATGTGTATGTGCCGTACAGCAGACATTACAGCACTGATAGTTGCAAGTCTTACAAATATATAAATTATGCATACATATGTACGTACTAGTAACGAAATAATTAGAAAGTTAGCAAAAGGTGTGAAGAGCCAAAGCTAAACATTTATGCTTATTATTTAACTACATACCTAAATATTTTATTATCAAAGTTAAAACTAGGTGTTATTTTTATTTTTGTTTTTATTACTATTTTTTTTTTGTACTTTTCACAATATATTTTTTAAACGCCTGAYATTATAAGCATAAAAGTAACTTAAGTTAAAGCAAAACATGAAAACATGCTGGTAACATAAAAGATTAAACAACTAAACATTTATTACGCTTGCGAAAAAGAAGTAAAGAAATTTAAAAAGGTGTTTAATAACAGTAATAAATACATACATATATATATATATATAATTAAATTTAACTAAATAAATAAATGAGGAGTAATTAAATCAAAGTTGAATTCAACCTTAACGCGTACACACAAGTACCGTTATACATGATAAAATATTTAGAAGTTTATTTTAAAATATAACATATACATATACACATACATATGTATATATGTATGCGCCTATAGCTACACAGTTTTAGTTACGAAAATGTTATACGACGTTTTTCATTTAATTTAATTATGTAAAATAAATATAAAAAAAACTTTATCAACAATGCATAATAACAATAACAATAACAAAGTAGTTAAATAACCGAAACGAAGCAAAACAAAAAATTAACACACACATAAAATGAAGCCAAATTTGCATTGTATGAGCTCGTTCCAAATGTACTAAGTAACGCAGAGCCTTGAAAAGGTCGTGCGCTTCGTCTAACAATTGTAATGAAATGGCAAAACTGAATAACCGAAAACGAAAACTGCTATTTATGAAAGTATATGGCAAAAGATATGTAAAAAAATATTAAGATATTGTTTTTATAAATGAATGTAAATGCGTGTAGAAGTGCACGTACAACGTTGCACACACATGTTCAATATAATTTTTTAATTTTTATTTACATATTAGATTTTTTAATTATACAAAATAAAATAAAAAAGAAATTAATTAAAAACTAAACAGTAAATTAATACCAAGTATATGTATTAGTGAGTGGAAAAGATTAGAATTGATTAAGCAGCGAATCGTTGGATTGTAAAATTTGTTAATATATACATACATATATGCATATATTTTTTTAACTGTGTTTCTTTTGCTTCATTTTCAAAAAACATCGTGGTTGTAGTTATGAGTTTCTGAGCAAAGATATTAATTTCCTTTTCTAGAAAACCGTTTGTTTAACTTTATTTGTTAATTTCTTCATATATTTCATGTGTACATTCAACTTTTGTAAATTTACCGAAAACAGTAGTTTTAAACAAATTTTATTATTTTAAACATTTTTACCAAAACCGTTTCTTCCGTTTCATGTGCCTACGTTATTGCGCCAAATTATTCTCATACTTACCTAAATACCCATTTTGTTGCAAAAAATCTAAACCAATATATAAATAGGTTCCAAAAACGGACTAACAATATGCGAAACTAAAATTTTAAAATAGTTGGCATTTCGTTACACTAACGACATACCGTAACGTAAACGTAATGCAAAATGTGTATAAATAATTTTAAGTTAAGTGATTTCGAAAAAACTGCAACATGCTACTACTTTACTACTACGAATATTTAAAAATAATATAAAATATAATAAAGGAAGAAATTATTACAAATTATATGCATATGATTAATTCCATTATAAAATATATTTAGTTTAGTTAAACCAAAAACAAATTAAAATTACCAGCATT